GGACAAGTAATGATAGAAAGGAAACCTCAAGATTCCCTCTTCAGATTGTTCTCTGAGGTGGAACTGTGCTTGAACCAGTCCTTGGCGCAGAAGAGAGCTTCCAAGGTCACATGTCGAAGGGAGCTCCTGTAGTTGTCCATCTTTTTCACCTCCGTGTCAAAAACAGAATCTGCAGGGACAGTGCAAAAAGGTAGGGACAAAATATCAGCTGCCATCTTCGAGAGGGTCGGATACTTGGTTCGGTTTAGGCTCCACCAGCTCAGAACCTCAAAGTCTTCTGTTCGCGGTATCAGAGATTCCTCCAGGTATTGGTCGACCTCTGATTGTATCTGCTGGTGACCGCCTACCTCAGAGATATAAAGCTCAAAGTCTGAGAACCCATCTCCAATGGTGATGAGGGGAAACTCCTGTGAAGATGCTTCAAGGTGGTGGCCTTCCTGGAGAAGGACATCAACGTGGTGACCTTCTTGAGAGATTGTAAACGCGGCTTCTTCCTGTGGCATTGCATGTGATCGGGAATCAACTTGTGTCTCTTCTACATGGTCGACCGCGGAGGGATGTTTCTCTGAGGTTGATTGCTGCTCTTGTGGCATAGCTTCGCCTTCTCGAGGATACTCTTGCTGGAAGCTACCATCAGCGTTTTGTGGGGTTTGGCTCTGCTCGAGAATTTGCTCCACTGGCTGTGCCTCCGGTGCCACTTCCTCAACTGGCTGAGTGTTTTCTAGTATTCCCTCTACTGGCTGCGTCTCATGTCCTGCTTCCTCAACAGGCTGAATGTCATCATGCTTTTCCTCCACCAGTTGTGCTTCCTGGGCCACTTCCTCAGCTGGTTGAGTGTCCTCGAGCATTTCCTCCACCTGTGTCTCATGTCCTACTTCCTTAACAGGCTCAATTTCATCATGCTTCTCCTCCACCTGTGTGTCATGTCCTACTTCCTCAACAGGCTCAATTTCATCATGCTTCTCCTCCACCAGTTGTGTCTCCTGAGACACTTCCTCAACTGGTTGAGTGTCCTCGAGCATCTCCTCTACCGGCTGTGTTTCGTGGGTTATATCATTGTCATCCACTTGCTGGCTTTCCACCGGCATTTCCTCAATGGGATGGCTCTCATTTGGTATATCCTCTATTGGCTGGCTCACCTGCGGTACTTCTTCAACAGGCTGAGTGTCTTCGACAAATTCCTTCATTGGGTGCGTCTCTGGCACATTTCCTTCCCTTGGTTGGCTCTCTTGAGTCATATCTGTATCCTCGAGGATTTCCTCCACTGGCTGTGTCCCCAGCACATTTCCTTCCCTCAGTTGGCTCTCTTGAGTCATATCTGTATCCTCCACTGGCRGWGTCRCCWG